CAGTTCGACTCCCGCATGGGATGGTGGGCTACGTCCACCTGCAACTAAGATTGGACATAGCACCTTGAGCTGAGCGGCCGTGAGCTGCTGGCGAGTGGCCGGATGGCAACTGGACTTGGAGCTGATCTAGCTGCACCCTCCACAACTAAGACTGAAGGACAACAACTTGGCCGTTCCCCTTCCCCAATTACCCAATAAAATCTTAAAAAAAAAAAAAAAAGAAAGAAAGAGAAAGCTAATAGAAATAATTCTAAAATATTCACAGATATACATCCTAGAAAAAAGATTTGGATCGGTTACTTTTAACTTTCATATGAAAACTAAAAATTGCTTTTCCTGTCCACTTATAAAATAAATAAGACATGGGGCTATAATGTACAGCATGGTGACTATAGTTAATAATACTGTATAACATATTTGAAAATTGCGTGGAGTATTTCTTAAAAATCCTCATCACAAGAAAAAATTGTGTGTACATGGTTGCCAGAAACAATAAAGATACTACAGTTAAAATAAATAAGTACTTGAATGAGTAAACAGGTCAGCATCTTATAAGTTTAAGAATTGAAATTTATATCCATTGATTCTAGGGACTTCAAAATGTCATTTGGTTTCTTCTACTCAGCCTCATCAAATTGTAAAATGTAAATCACAATGCTGGTAGTCTGATTCACATGTCTGAGGGCAGTTGTCAATGCAAAGTAAATAAAGCTGTTTGGCCAAGTAGATAAAGACATAGAGAATGCGAATGAAAAGGGGAGGCACACACAAAGAAAAACAAGCAGGCAGAGATGAAAACTGGCAACACTGGAAAAAGTAAAATTCACAGGGACTGAATGAGAGACGCATACAGAGACTGAGGTGAGAGAGATACAAAGACATAGAGGCAGAAGCACAACCAAAGAGGAAGAGCAAAAACCATAAGCAAGAGAGGAAGATGAACATGCAGAGTGGAACTGATGGGCAGGCACAGTGACAAGGAAATGGGACCAGACAGAAAAAAGATAGTTGAAGAAAAGATCACTTTTACCCCACAAGTTTTTCAAATTATATACTTCTGTTGTTATCCAGTGTTCCCACTTAAAAGGGGACAGACTTACATTTTTACAAACGGATAATGAGTATTTCATTTACCTAGCAGTTTTTAAAAATCAGATTTACTGTGAGATAGCTTAATTTTTGCCAACATTAAGGTTCACATATTGGATGTGTTAATGACTCAGTGGGGGGGAAATCCTATCACAATCTATATGTATAGCAATTCATCACGCTGTACTCTTTACAATTTTATCTGTCAATTACGTCAATAAAGCTGAAAAAAAGGCTCACATATATCAGTTTACTGGACAGAAATCCCTAATTTTACACATCGCTAATTTTTTTTTTCCAAAGTGAAAACTGATAGCACACTACTTAGAAAAAATTCATCCTAAAATAAGGACCTCGTAGCTTTTATGATTACATACCAGTGACTTATGGAACACAAGTGTCAGGTTGAAAACACATTCTTAGTTGGAAATAACTTACCATTTAGAGTCAAATCTAGGAATCTTTGTCCTGTTTCCACTTTACTACACTTGGTAGGTCATGTTCTAGCTCTTCTGTGCAGAATTTGTCAGTAGCCATCAATCGGAAGAATTTCTTCTTCTGCGGCCACCTACCAGTTTTTCTCTCTGCTGCAGCAGAAGGGTATACAGAAAAAGTTCTTGCTTACTATTCAGATTAAACAGAAAAATTCCTTTATTTAACATTTAATGTTTTCAGATGTGCAAAAAATTCCTCATTGTTTCCCCAAAAAAGACCTCCCCGCCCAAAGTCAAGACAAACAAAAATCCCAATCACTGAAAATCAAACAATATATGATCAATGTTCATGCTAAGCTGGGAAAATTAAAAAAAAAAAAAAAGGTGGAAAGATTTAGACACTCAACAGTTGCCATCTCAAGGAGCCGTTTGTTATACTTTCCTTCTTCACCTATCCCTCTAATCTTATGAATAAATGCGTAACTTAAATTTTTAACTAGGTAGTCTACAACTCCTGCAACCTTTAAGTTGAGAGACTACCAAAAGAATTGTGAAAGGTGCAGCAATAAAGGAGTGTTTAAAAGTAATTCTAGAAACTAAGGGTGTTAGGTGCTTTACCTGCTTGAGTTTTCAATGTTCTGGACTGCTTATTGCGCAATGGCTCTGAATACATTAAAACACGAACACATACGCCACCTACATTTAAAATAGGGTAGTATTTGTATGCCCATATAAGAATTGGGTATATTTTTTTGCAAAAGAGTAATAAATTCATTAAGCCCTTTTAAAAGGACTGACCACAAATGCACACTTGCTCAAACTGTATACATACATAAAAGAAATAGGGCAAAAAAGGGTGACAGAATGACAAATGTAATAGCAGTTGCAGAACTGTAAATTAATACCATACAAATGTTTTCTGTTTGTTAAAATCCTGAGATTCATTTCTATTCCCATTCTCTTTGTCATTGGGGTCTAGAATTCAAATCCATTCTGTATTAGCTATTAAAGAATAGTATCCAATAATGAACTAGTAATAATAGTAATGGCTTGTTTTTGTTCCACCCTCCCACTATCTTTACCCCAAAAGAAAAATATGTAGTTTTGCCAACTTAAAAATAAAACAAACTGACGTAAGCACTGCAGTGACATTGTTTCTACTTTCTGACTCCTTCCCCCATCTCAAACCCCACCCTTTGACCTCTGTATATGGGATGAGCCTGAGCAGGAGAGTTGGTGATGTCAGGACTGCGCCGTTCCCACGGATGCTCCTAGAGGCCTGCTGTGCTTCTGGGAACTGGGGCACAGGGATGTCTGTCTGACTGAAACCTAAAACAACAACAATTCACCCCACCCCTCATGTTCCCAAACCCCACAACAGCAGCCAGGTATATATGCTATATATGCTATATAAGGCCTATCTAATAAGTGAATATGGTAAAATCTGAAAGCAAGCTCGTTCTTATCAAGTCAGTGATCTTCATGGGGCAGCAGAATGGAAACTATTAAATTCTCTGTGTCCCATGCAATCACACAGTCCACACATCCTAATGCTGGCCATTCTATCAGCAAGAGAACAAGGTTCTCCTGTACACACCTTTTTCAGTATACATATCACAAATTCCTGCAAGAGTGTAGTAGTAAATTTCAGTTGGACAGATGAGTATTTCTGTCTTAAAATGGGTAGGGGAAGTGTCTGTCCCTATCTTATATGAATGAAATAAAGCACAAAACAGGTTAACAATTTATTTCATGCCTTCAACTGTGCAAATAACATTAGAAGCCAGGATTTCCTACTCACTAGATTTCCTACTCACTAGTGATTTATTGGACTTACAGTTTCTTTGGATAGGACATCTTAAAGCCACAGGGTAAAATTATGCAGAAGTATATCTTGAAAAGGTCCTAACTACTGTCACTACAATTCTACCTATTAGAAAGAGGATTATCTCCCAAAATGATAGCTTGTATCAGAGCTAAAACTTTAGGAAAAACAGGAAAAAGGAGGAAAGGGTAGTTGGATTGGGGTATACAGAGGAGGGGATAGTCATATTAACGAACAGGAAGGCTATTAAAATGGACAAGTTGTATTCCTATTCCTGCCACTAACTTTATGGCCTTCGTTAATCTGCTTAACAATCTTGTGCATCAGAAATGCCCTCCAATCTCTTCAAACCTGTAGCGTTTTAATGTTTAAACCATTATTTTATAATAATCTCAAACTACTCATATCTAGCTCTTTTGTTAGAATTAGTGTCTCAGAAATGCTAGAATGGTTAGTTCTGAAATCACACTGCTCCTACAATAACCGAAATGCTTTCTGCTATCTTTGTCTCATCATTCCCTTTCACTTGTATAATGATGTCACAGAAAGAAAAGCACTAAGGTCAACTAAATGCTATGGTGAGTTGTTACCATACATGTAACCTAGAACCTAATTTTACCTTTTCAAAACTCTAGTTTTCCATACCTGTCAACTCCTAATTGATGTCTTTATACTGTGAGCTCACTGTGTATTCGGAACACCAACCTCTGAAAAAGCTTAAGCCAGAGTAGCACAATGGAAGAAACAAACAAACCCAAAACAAAAACAAAGCCAAAAAAGTCACACTCTGAATACTTAATTATAGACATGTATGTAAGGAATGGAGTTATCTATATGGTTAAAGCACATCCCCAAAAAAGTCCTGAGTTCATCCCAACCAATTCAAACTTTACCCCCAAAAGTTTTTGCTTAATCAAATTATTTATTAGATTTAGTTATGCGTTATTTTTTTAAATGAGGCTTATTACAAATCCATGGTTGCCTTTAAAGTACATAAGGAAGTTTTTTTTTTTTTTTAAAGGAAAGTCAAGTTAGCCTTGTGATGGAAAGAAAGGAGAAAGAGTGAAATTACCTGCAAGCAGCTGGGCTGTGACTGAATCCAAACCGCTGCATTTACCATTCATTATACAGCTGCATTATTGGGGGAAGGGGAGTTTAGAAGGGCACTGACCCCGAAAGTTCTCAATACTTCTCACTCATCATCAGGAAGGGGGAAGAAGGAAAGTTTTTTCTCTGGGTATTTTTTGTTTGTTTGTTTTTGTTTTTTTGGCTCCTGAAAAGGCTGGCAAAGAACAGTAACAGTACAAGCAGTTAGAATATTTCTTTAAAAACAATTTTTAAAATGCAAAACATTAAGGAATGTAAAACACCAAAACTTTCGTTAATATAGAAAGAATTTTCACTAGAGTTAGGCAGCCACCCCAAAACATCATGACAAAAGGGCATTGGTATAAAGGAAATAAAATACCACACAAAAATTCAAAACAAAACTAAAAGCTTCAAATTAAACCTGGAAGACTAGAAGATTCCAACAGTAGATTTCTGTCCACTACTGAAACATTCCAAATCCAAGCTTCAAAGGCGCCTAAATGTATCTTAAATGAAACTTTGTTTTGTTTTTTTTTAGAAAAAAAAGAAAGAAAGCAATAAACCTGGTTATAAATCCTGCAATATATTACATTTTAAAATATCCTAGTACAACAAAAACAAATTTTAAATGAAATTAAACAAACAAACAAACAAATAAAAACAGTAGCAGCAGAGGTTACCTGTCTGAGCACCTACATTTTCTTAGGAGGGGATCGTGTCTCACCAGCCACATAGCCCATTAACCTTCTCAAAAAGAGTGAGCCAGGAGAAAATAACACAAGATTTGATTTCACAATGTCTCTAGGCTCCCCAGACCCCAAACTGGGGATTCACTGAATGAAGAGAATTTGTTTTTCCACTGTTTTCTTCTTGAGAAAAAGAAGAGATGATTTTGAAAGTCAATTACTTCTTTCAATGCCTTCGATAACTTCTCAAAAGTCTGATAAAGTGTTGATGAAAGCAAGTCTCTTGATGAATTTTTATAATGTTCCAGGGTATTTTCTGATTGATAGCATATACAGAAAGATTTTAAAGTTCAGTGCAGTAAAAGCCAACAGAAATGACCAATGAATTATAGGCACCAAAAAAGAAAAAAAAAACTATTAAAAATTTTAAATGGAATAGTTCATATTTGTGTGTGTGTGTGTGTGTGTGTGTGTGTGTATGAGTCCAGTTTTCATCATGGGTGACAAAAAACAGTATCAGAAAGAATTACTTTTAAAATACAATTCAGAATTACAATTTTAACAATGCACAATAATTTTACAGTAATTCAGATTTTGGCATAATGATTATACATATTTGATAAATACATTTTTACCTCTCATAATAGTAATAAAGATTAAACAAAAGTTATTAAACAATATAAAAATATATTTAACTTTCACTTAATTATCTGGGCTGTTTTATTTGGGTTCTTCCAGAACGGTTTGTTCATTTTCTTTACCTTAATTTTTGAAGGCTTTCAAGAAGATACTCATGTTTTTGAAGTCTAAAATGACCACTCCTTCCCCCTTTCATTCTAACATGTGAGTGTACAATCCAGAAATAGGTTGGTAAAGCTAAGTTTTAATATAGTGTGAATGCACAAAAGATGGATAGTGAATAAAACTGATATATCTGATATTTCTTATCATATAGTTGGTTAATTTGGTAAAATTTTTTAAAAGGCTATCTGTATTTTTCCTGGTGCTTTATCCCACCCAACACAAACCTTGAGTGCTTCATCAAACAGAGAGTGTTGTTCTATTTGTGTTTTAAAATTCATTAATGTATATACATGCAATATGTAACTATTCAAAGTATATGTAACATAATTTAGGTGGCAACCAGATCGTCTCTACACAAACATATGAATGATGATTTAATTAAGCAGTTCTTTCTCCCTGATTTATTTCCCGTTCCCAAATAGTGTACATCCTTCAAAGTATGGTCTTTCTGTGAAAGAAGTACCATGTATTTAATGAGTCAGAGGTACTTATGATGTATGTAAGTCCCATAATAAACCTGTTCAAGTCAAATTCTTTTAGATAAGATTAAAGTATCATAAAATAAATTAGAAACTCCTCTTATGTATCTTTTTATGAGGTGAAATGAAACACTGCACAGATTAGAAATACTATTCTATTTGTCAACAATCAACCTTTCACTCAATTTTAATATTATTTCATTCTATGGAAAAAAAACAAATTTTATTACATTCCTTTTTAAAATGGGAGGAAAACTGTACAAGCATGATCAAACCTCTGTTAGAGCTGGTTATTAATACTGATCTTTTATTATTGCCTTGAAGTCTCTCTAGTAGTGTCCAAGAAATAAAGTTTAAAGTCCATCTGAAGAAAAAAAGCACTGGAGAGACAAGGAAGGACTTGGGTATAAGCTTCAGAGGATTGTAGGGAGATGGAACTTGCTGTTTAAAAGAAGTACGTTGAGCTCTGGAGCATCTCCATTTCTTAACACACCTTCCAAACCATCAGTGGGATAATTTTACCCATGTTTTAAAGGCTCATATTATATGCAGTTTTGGGGCTTTTATAAATTCAGAAAGTAAAGGAATATAAAGAGTAGAGCGTACTGAAGGCTTCAGAGTAGGGCTATATAAGAGACTTAATACTGCTAAGTAAGTCCCCAAACAAAAACGTCCAGTCCACCCCATCTCAATACCTATGTGTAATAGGAGAAAACACAGAGCCAGAAGCAATGAAAAGCATGTAGCCTTAAATAAATCATACACTGAACAGTCTAGAACCAAAGAAAAAAACCAAACAACAACATATACACAAAAAGGCCTAAGAAGCTTCTATTCTCCTTATGTCTTCAGGTATCTATCTCTACCCCAGTGGAGTATAGTTATGAAAACAACTCATCTGTTTTATAAAGTAAAAAAATGTGTTCCCATCATGCTCCATTTTCTAGAATCTATCCTTTTTGATTGGTTGGTGTAAACAAAAAGCAAAACATACACATGCATGCGTGCACACAGACACATATATACTCCTTCCTAAAATGCGAAAAATGCAAATATATAATGCTGGGATTAGAAATCACTTCAGCTTTATACGTAAGAACTTACAGCCCCTTGATTTGCCCGCCCACCCCCCAAAATATTTTTCCTTGTCCTTATTCTTTAAATGCCCAACCACCGAAAGTAAAAAGGAAAAAATAAAAGGCTTTAAATGCACATGTTTCGAGTCAGTGTCTTGTTAACAAAAAAAGGTAGCATTTTTTTCACTTTGGCCATTGTTAAAGATGCAGGCATAGATCAGGGAATGTTAGACTAGCATGTTTTAAAAAAATGCAACATTAACAGAACATATATCTCAAAAAAGACTAAAACACTAACAAATACAGGTCAATGCACATATTTTAAACTAGTGTAATTTTATCCACATTGGAGTAAATGTTATTTTGTGCACCAGATATTGCAATACTGTTCATTTCCCTTTTATCATGCAAACATGCCAATTTTTTCATTAAAGAAACCTTTATTGGATAATATTCACGTTGCCCCTCCCTGCCAAAATTAAGGGATAAAACTAAAACCAAAAATAATCCCAATAAGAGCCCCTCAAGACTTTATAAACTATGAACATAAAGCTGTAGCTAATATGATAAAGGCAGAATTTTCAGAACTGTATAAAAAAAATTCATGTAATTTACGTAGATGTTTTCCTCACCCATCACAAATCTTTGCAACACAATGTGAAGTTACACTACTCTGAAATTTGTATCAACTGTATAAAAACAAAAAGGGACCATGAAAAAAATTTATGTGTTTTCCATGGCCTGAGAGGATACAACATTTTGAGTAATTTAGAAGGGTAACTACAAGAGCCTCACATTTTTTTGTATCTCACCTCTTCTGCCTCTCTATCTGCAGAATTTGTAAATGAAAGTCAGTAACATCTTAATAGCAGAGGTCTTGTCTATCTCCCTCTTCTTTCCTAACTAATCCTACTCAATTTTCTGTCATCTTCCTGAGCATCTTCCATGAACAGCATTGCAAATTGGTTGAAAAAAAGAAAAAAAGAAAAAAAAGAAAGAAGGAAGTTTTACAAGGGTTTTGTTGGTTAATTATTTACCAGTGGAGTCACTCCACCAGGAGTTCGATTTCATTGGCTAGCAGCTGGTTCATGTTGAACAGGCCCCCTGGGAGCTTGGTGAGCAGTTCTCGCTCGGTGCTTTCAGGGTCGCTGTCAACAGAGCTGGAACTTGCGCTCATGTTGTCGACAGCAGTGCTGGCTGGGGGACCCAGCTCCGGCTCACTAGTCTCACTGGCCGTGGACACCACGGAGAGCAGGGACATACGCCGGGTGAGCCGGCCAGAGGGCAGAAGGGAGGCGGCATAGTCCGCTATGATACCAGCTACATCTAGATTACAAGCCTTATCAAAGGCGATGAAACCTACATTTGCATTGGCCTCGCAGACACAGAAGGAGCCGTCATCTTTCATCAACAGGTCAATGCCACACACATCCATCCCCAGGATATTAGACACCTGGATAGCTAGCTGCTTCCCTTGTTCACTCAATGAGCACATCATCCCCACACCACCTGGCAAAGAGTAAACAAAATAAGTTACTAAAATGACAAAAGTCTGTCGTAAAACTAAAACTGGACTCCAAGGATAACCCGTTATTGTAAATTAGTGAAAATAAAGGTGGTATTCTAGTGTAAAATTGGGACTTAGAAGTCTAAGTTTCCTTTACTGGGATATCCCCTTCCAACCCAATCTCAAAGAATTCACAACTTAGTACTTTTTCAATACGCTATTTATTCTGAAGAAGACATTAAACTTGCACTGAAGCCTATCTTACTCCAATAATATAGACCGAATACAAGGAACTTTTGCATAAATACAATTATGACAAAAAATAATAGAGATGCTTAGTGTGGATATAAAGGACAGGATGGAATCTGGGAACCTGAACAAGGGGACCTGAACGTGGCCCTCTTCCTCTACAGTCCCCACTCTCATCTATCTGCCATTCCTTAGCCAAAAGGCTTCTGGGGCTTAAGGTAGCTAACTGAATGTAGGTGAAGCTTTGGGGTTTGCTGGTATCTGAAAGAAAGGAGTTAGAACTAGATTTTCTCGTTTGGAGACTAATTTCAGGAAACTCTGGGGTAAGGACTAGAAAGTAAAGAATTTGGAGAAGAGCTTGACTCAAAGAGCCTTGTGTCCAGTCAATGCCCAGGAGGAAAATTGACATCAGTGTTATAAGAATATGCCTAGGGCCGGCCAGGTGGCACAGTTGGTTAGAATGTGAACTCTGAGCAACAGGGTGGCCAATTCAATTTCCAGATGGGCCAGTAAGCTGCGCCTGAGCTGAGCTGCCCCTGAGCTGCCAATGGGCAGCAGGGTGGCTTAGCTTGTGAGAGTACGTGCTCTTCACAAGGTGGCCGGTTCGACTCCCGCATGGGATGATAGGCTGTGCCCCCCCCCGCCCCCCCGCAACTAGACTTGGAGCTGAGCGGTCCTGGAAAAACACAATGTTCCCTTCTCCAATTCCCCAACACTGTTCCTTTCCCCAATTCTCCAGTAAAACCTTTAAAAAAAAATATGCCTAATGTCTTTGACCTCAAAGAGGCCAAAATGTAACTGCAGAGGTAAGCTGAGTCCTCCCTACCACTGAGGCTGGAAGAGTAGGGAGGGAGTCCAGGTAATAGGAAGGCTTCTTTGAAGTACAACTGGCACACTCGCCCACGAATTAAATAACTCTGCTTCTCAGCATCTGTAGGACTGAAGCCATCTGGAATGCCCCAAAAAACCAGAGCAGAGCCATGATGTGATAACAAAAAAATAACAAGCCATCTATGACTTGAATAAAAGAAGTAAGAGCACTTTAAGGAGATTCAAGTTCAGCACAGAAAGTCTGTCTGAAGCTAAAACAAAAACATGATCACCCAACTAAAAACTCAGAAGAACTAAAAGAAAGTATAGTCACTTTTGTACTCACAAAAGTGAAGTACATAACTTGAAAACTCAAGTGTTAAGAAACATTTCAAAGCACATAGAAAAAGCCTGAGGTGAAATCACAAAAGAAAAGAAATACGGAGGATTGAGTTAGACAAGATTACTAAAACTGTGAAACAAACAGAGAAGAAAAAACCCAGACTAAGTTCTGAGGCACTTTAACAATAAGAGACCTCACAAAATACACATTTAAATAAATCAAAATCAGAAATCTTGTTTGGACCAATGGGTAAAATGAGTTAGGGCACAACCATCTTAAACAAACTCCCATTATACACAAAATAAGTGTATCAACAAAGAAGGAATCTTTAATTCTGGTCAGACATTTCATATATGTCTGAAATGAGTTACAAATTGAGCATGGGTGAAAGTATTAATTCATGATTCAGAGAAATTCAATTTCATTACTAGAAAAATAACTCAAAGATATATTTATTATATTCATAGTAAGTCTATTAATCATATTTACCTATGAAAGATAATGTTTTTCAACTAAGTGAAAAGCTCTGTAGTTATATACAAATACTCATTAAACAAGTTGTAATATTACTTCACATACTAGAAAGACATTTGCATCGCTTTTACCTAGTGAGCAGTTGCTTTGCATCCTCCCATCTGTTGAACAACGTAACATGGTGCCAACCACACGGCCACCCACGACAATGACACGTACATCCCGTCCATGAGACTCTTTAACATACTTTTGGAACAGGTATGGAGCTTCATGGCGAATAAGATGGCTGAGATCAGCCAAATGGTGCTTGTCTCGAGCCAAAAAAACCGCTTTGCCTGTGATTGAAAAAGAATAAAAAATATATGCAGGTCATCATGCTGTGGGTAGGTTGTTATCTATTACCTCCATTTTGTGTCCCAATCTGCTCTTTCAGAACCAATTACTTTTTAACCAAAGTAATAAAGTTATGCTAATCAGTGATATAATGCAAAAATGTATATAACGAAGTTAATAATCTCCTTCTAAGAGTCCCTCTATCCCCAAACTGTTACAGTAATCTAGAATTTATTTCAATATGTTGTGAGTAGGTATCTAAAATTTGTATTCCTCAAGGTTAGACAATAATGCCAGTCTCTCTTATTAGCAAAATATTTCCCTTTAAGTTAAAACATGTCATATATTGTACAATATATTAATATACTATATTTGCATATAGTAAAATAGCAGTATGTCATTACACATCTAGTTTTATTTCTGAATTCTCTAGTCTGTTCCATTGTTCTATGTGTACATTTTAATGCCCGTTTTTAAAACATAGTTTACCGGTACATGTTTTAACATTCTTCCCATCAAGAGCGGGGGGAATCTATGTTGCATCCCTTTAAATCTAGGAAGGCTTCTTATTGCTTCAACCAATAAATAAAGCAGAAGCAACTCTATATGACTTCTGAGACTAAGTCATAAAAGCTCATGCCACTTCTTTGGTCATTGGAGCATTCACTGTAGGAGCCCTGAGACTTCTTGACTGTTAACAGTACCAGCTGAACCCTGATCCAACTATCCCTGTCAAGGCACTAAATCTTATGAAGTACTTGGATTTATGAATCATTTTATGCCTTAAGAAATCCTTCCTTAATCTGAAGTCATTAAGATATTTTCATACACTGTTTTCCAAAGCTTTATATTTCTGCCTTATACATTTAAGTCTTCAAACTATATAAATTGGGAGGGGGAATGATTGGAGTTAGTGATGTAGGGTCCTTGCATTGTTGAAGATTAAGATAAAAGTATTAACTTGAGACTCCATCTAAATTAAGTGTGCATCTTAAAATTTCTAGGATAACCACTAAATGAACAGAAATAGCTTCTAGCCAAACTGAAACTCACAGCCTTCTGTAAGTTTAAGGTACCATGCACCTAACAATTTCTCTCTAATCATTCTTTAGAAGGCCTGCTTCAAAAGCTATAAATTTCAATTGATAAGACTACTATCTAGTCAATAACCATGAGCAAATATAAAGAAAACAATCATTTCTTTCATATGATTAAGAAAAAAAATCTATACTGTATAATCACCCTTGATTCTTCAGAATAAATTTCAAAATTATGTACCAAAACAACTCATACACACCTCTATGACCCCGTGTATTCTTCACTACCATTGGGAACTCCAGTACTTCTGCTTCATCAATCATTTTAGAAAAATTTTCATGGCCACCTGGTTGGAGCAAAAAAGAAATTTAAAAACAGTAGTAGAGGTGTTTTGTGATGAATTTTATCTACACTAAGGTCAGCAACACAAGGGAGGTAGAAGATAAGGACCTGATGACTAAATTTTATGATTCTTGGATAAAGTAATAAATAAAAGTCAAAAGCACAGTTAAATACCAGCTTAAAGCAACCACACCTTATAAAAGATAAACGCTACCTTAAATTATAAATATTCTAATATCAGACCTAAAGAAATTAAGTAATCTTCAGCTAAAATAACTTTTCCTAATTCTATACCATTTTTCATATTTTTATCCTTTATACTTCCACCATACAAATAACAGAAGTCCCAAGGTCTACTTCAGTATATTCAATTCCCTGTTTGGATAAAAAAATAGAAGAATGAGTCAGTTCACAAGGCTCATCTAAGACTGAGATGTTGCATGTGTGTGTGTGCACATGTACACATACACACACACCCCGCCTCTCAAATATACAAATTAATTTTTCTTATCTCCATTATTATTCAGAGTTGTTTCTACATTGACCTACTCAGTACCTGTGTATTAAATCTTGCTTCTCACCACTTTTATTGCCAAAGAACAAATGATACAAGTAGCAAAATTTGAGCAAAAATGGACTGTAATTGTAAAAAAAAAAAAAACACCATGGTGATACAGAAAAATTAAACCAGTAAAAAGTTCATTAAACAACTGCAAAACCATAAATTTGCAACTCAGAGAAATTAAAATAATTCAGTTCCCAAATTTGAAACCTTCAATATTAGAGAATATTTAATTTGATTAAGCCTTTTCTCTTTTCCATTCTCTTAAAATGAGAATAGCAGACCCATGATATAAGCTATAATATCCCAAAAGTATCAGAAAGACAAAATTCTCAAACTATTCATATTGTCTCTTGTGCCAGTGCTAAAAACAGCCAATTGTATCACATATACATACTTGGAGAGTTCCCTTTCTTAAAATATTAAAAATAAGAAAAGGACAGGATTTCTTTTTACAGTGTCATTATCTCTCCAAGCATTCTACTGGACATTTATTTGGAGAAATATCTTTATTAAAAACTGTACTGATTTATAGTAAATCTTATCCTTTCCAAACCAGTAAACTGGAAAGGCAAACAATATTAACATAATATTGTTTATAGGAGTGCTACTCAAAGTGTGGTCCAGTAAACCTGTGCCCGTTTCTGACTTCTATGCTATTGATATGTGACCAGATAATTATAAAAAGAGTAAGCACTAGAAGCTTTTATAGCAATATGATATTGCTGTGATATTTTTATTGTACTTTATAAGAGTATTGATACAAAGCAGAATACATACCAAAAATGTCACTGTCTTAAGAAATAAGAAAATATTTGTGAAGAATTATCATGAAAATGGTAATAAAGATAAACAGATTAGAGACTTCATCAAATTCTATTATCTTTTACCACAGGGGCTGGCAAACTAAGGCCTGTGGGACCAATTTGGCCCACTGCCTTTTCTGTAATCAAGCTTTATTGGAATACAGCCACATTCATTTGTTTAAGCATTTTCTAGGGCAGCTTTCGCACTATAATAGCATTACAGAGGTTCTCACAACAGAGAACGTATAGCCTGGAAAGCCCAAAATATTTACTGTTTGGCCCTTTATAGGAAACGTTTGCCAAGTCCGTTCTACCCATATCATGGAATTAAATGTTAAGACATGATTCATAATTCTACCGCCCAGTTTGTTAAAACTGAAAGTCACTTCTGTAAGAAGTTCTTTCATGTTCACAAATTTCCTTATATCACATAACCCTATTAGTTTAGTATGCTTTCAAAACAATCAGTTCTCTAAAACTTAGGTTATAACTTATTAGTGAATTCACCATAAGAGAAAGTATCAGGCAGAGGAACACCATGGCCAGCCAACTCTTGAAATGTCCAGAACTTATTAACACAGTTCAGGATGGCTTGAGGTCGATTCATCAAACGGCATCCCATCTTCTCTAGATGGCGCAAAACAGTGATGTCACTATCGCTCTGCACCCAAGGGGTTGGTACTCTTACTACCACCACCTGGGGGTAGGCAGAAATTAGTTCTCCATTGATCCGCAGACCTGAAATATATAGGAATGAAGCCAAAACCATTAAAATGAAACATGCAATAAAATAGAGGAATAGAAGCACACCAAAGCTTGAGTCACAAAACTAAATGTACTATTCTGTCAACATTTCATTGGGATAAAGAGACATCCCTCCTTAAATTATATTTCTTTGTAAGAAAAAAGAAAATTTAATAAGAAAAACTTCTGTACTGGTTAAATACATTATGGTAGATGTCAATACAATGAAATACTGCATAGCTATTCAAAAGAATGTCGGACCGGCTGAGTGGCACGTTGGTTAAGAGCTGGCCTGGGACGCCAGAGGACCCTGGTTCAGATCCCACATATGTAGAGGCCAGTGACACTGCCCTCTACAACTAAGATGCTGAACAGCTCAACCTGGAGCTGGGCTGCCATGAGTCGCGGCTACGGTGCAGGCTGCAGCCCCTGCTGCAGTGGGTTGCCATGGGCTACCATATGTAGCCAGCAGCCCTCGTGAGAGGCCATCCAGAAGCCGGTGACTGATCTGCCTCCCCTGGGAAGAGCGCAATGATGGTGCCAACTTGGGCCAGTGAAGCAACATCCTCCACAACTAGACTGAAGAATAAAAGGACAGCAACTTGTCTATTCCCCTTCCCCCAATTCCCCAGCGCTGTTCCCATCCCCCAATAAAAATTTAAAAAAAATAAAAATAAAAAGAATGTCATAAATCTCTATGTTCAGAGATGGAAAAAATGTCCAGATGCTTAATTTTTTTTTTTTTTTAAGATTTTTTATTGGGGAATTGGTAGGATGGGAACAGTGCTGGGGAGTTGGGGGAAGGGGAACAGACAAGTTGCTGTCGTCTTGTTCCTCAATCTAGTTGTGGAGGATGTTGCTTCACTGGCCCAAGTTGGCACCATCATTGCGCTCTTCTCTGGCGAGGCAGATCAGTCGCCGGCTTCTGGAC